AATCATTTTGATTATAAGTGTTTTTTTATATGAACAAAACTCAAAAATAAAAATTGAAAATTTGATCACACACCAAGTGTTTGACAAATTGCATTGTTCTATATTTTTACTTAATTACATTGGAAATAGATTGCTAGTGAATTGTGGCAAACGGATAACTCTCATTTACTTTCTATATGCAATTTGTTGAATGCGTTGTTTGATCAATCAATTCGTATATAATTTTTCTTTGTTTATTAAAGATTAAATTGCTTTGTTGATTAGCTTATAATCACTTTGATTGTAAATGCTTTTTCATATCAATAAAGTTCAAAGAAAATTCTAAAAAATCGATTGCGCGCCAAGTGTTCGATAAATTGTCAAATTATGTTTTTAACTTGATTTCATTGGAAATAGGAAAATATTGTGTTTCATATTAAATTGTTAATTAAGATATTGTTATGTTGATTGATTTTATCATTATCTTAATTCCATACAACTTGTGCATATCCGAGTTTTCAATAATTAGGTTCGTTTAGACTATTATTTTGATATAGGCCAAAAACTATCCGCTTAACATTGTTTTTCAAATAAATTTTTAAATACCTATTTTTGAAAGGTAATTTTCAATTGGGATCTATTCACCCCCTCTAAATAAGTCACCGTAGTCTAACGTTCATAACTTCATGGTATGACTGATAAGTTTAATTCCTCTATAATTTACACAATTTTGTATATATGTCTTATTCCTATAAATCAGAATAAAAGTGATTCTTCTCCGTCCATCCAACATTTGATTTGACTTTTGACAAGTCTCTCAATACCTTTATCTCCAAGATTTTTCTCACTTTAATAGTATGTTTTCTAACCCAACTATCTTGCAATTACACACATTTTCAACATTTTGCCTCATGTTTTTGAACCTCTGAATAATACTTATAATTTTGATCATTTCTCTAATATTTAGCCAGCTAGATTCCAATAAAATCCCATATCCTTCCTTAAATAAATTGTAGACATATTCTTTCCATTTATTCTTTTATATCTTTTTCTTGAACCAAGACTTTACCGTCTTCATCTTTAAGATATTTCACTTAATTCAAATCTTTTGTCTTTCTTTCTCTTCTCTTAGCAAGCTTATATATAAACTTACTCGCTCTTTAATTTCTAAGGATTAATATAATTCGCCAAAAACTTGAGTTCTTCCTTCAATCACCCCTTTATTGACCTCTTTCTTGAACATAATTCCAAAAAAATTATAAATTAAAAAATCAATTTTTTATACTATAACAATACTTAAAAACAATAAATATTTAATAAATAATATATATTAACCTTCTAATCACCTTATTTTTCAAAATTAAAATTAATAACAAAATTTATTTTATTTTATTTGTAGAGGAATTGCTCATAGCCACGAGAAACTTACATACACAATTGTGGAAGTTAGAGTTTGAATCTTGGTATTAACTTCCTACTTAATAATATCAACTTTTGTCGATTATATTTTCTCTATTTCATATTATAAAATAAAAAGTATTTTTCAAATTTATTGAATATTTAATATATCTAATCTATATATGGATCAGATACATTAATTATTTAATAAATTTAAAAAATAAATTTCTCTTATAATATATGACAGAAAGAAAGAGTATTAGAATTTGAAATAATTAATTATTAAATCTATCCAAATTAAAACTGAAAAATACTATAAAAAATAAAAATGATATAAAATAAAATAAAATTTGATTTAAATATTTGCAACGGTATGAAACAACTCATTTTAATGAGGTTAAATTAAAAAAGATTTAAATTTCAAAACAAAATAATCAAATCAATTCAAAGTTTTAATCCAAAGTTTTATTTGAAAATAAAATTAAAAAAATTGCTACATGATTTAAATTAAATTGCAATATGCAAAACAAAGTTATTATGAGAATAATAATTCAAATTCAATTATATAACAACAAATTTTCACAAAAATAATATTTTTCTACATATATACACCAAACAAAAAGGAATCAATTATGCTATACTATTCTACATATTAATGCTCCTTTAGTTATATAGTAATCAAATTAAAATATTTTGAAGACTATATAATGTTATATTGTCATATTATGGAAGTCAAATTAAGTTGGATTTTATGTGCAAGAAAAAAAAGACTTCACTACATTAATACAATAAATAAATAAACTTTCAATGAATCAATGAATCAATAATTGAATTTAATTGAGAATCACAACTTGATCCATTCATTATCATCCATATATTATCCATCATATTTCATTCTTCTTCTTCATTGCTTCATACACTAATTTCACTCTCTTTCTACTTTCTATATATGATTATGATAGTGAAAACCTTCGACTTCAAATCAAACCAAAAACAGTGAAACCCAAATCCAAAAAACAATAAAAATCAAATTTTTATTATATTCATGATGGAGTCGAAGGGTCTACGATTCATGACCCATCAATCAATTTTCACCATGGTTGGATCTGGAGACCTTGATGGGTTGAAGAAGCTCTTAGAGAAACTGAAAAAGGAAGATGATGGTAATAGTAATAATGGGTCATCATCATCTTCATCACCTATGTCGGTTTCTGATGTTATGTCTCTTCAAAACGATCACGGTGAAACTCCACTTTACATCGCTGCTGAACGTAATTTGAAGCAGGTTTTCACCTTTTTGCTGAATTTGTGTGATTTTGAGATTCTCAAGATTCGTTCCAAGTCTGATATCAATGCTTTTCATGTTGCTGCTAAGCGTGGCCATTTGGGTATTTTATATATTCTCTTTCTTTTGTTGGTTTTGTGTTTACTCAAACTTTATCAACCTGTGATGTGATGGATATTGCTATTATTGGATGAATATTGATGTATGTTTGTATAACTTGACTGCGGCTATAATTTCCATCCGCGGTGAATCTTGATCCATGGTAGATAGCTTTGATTTGATTTGTTAACTGTAAGCTTGTAATCACCTATGCTTCTCATGCTAGCTATAGTTTTGATTATTTTGAAGTATTTCAATCATGATTTTAATGTTTATTTTTTTCTTCAGATATTGTGAAGGAGATTTTGAGTTCATGGCCTGAGGTTTGTAAGTTGTGCGACTCGTCGAACACCAGCCCTTTATATTCTGCTGCAGTTCAAGACCACTTGGATGTGGTGAATTCTATTTTGGATGTTGATGTCAGCTCAATGTTTATAGTTAGAAAAAATGGAAAAACTGCACTACACAATGCTGTTAGGTACGGCGTCGATCGTATTGTGAAAGCACTTATTGCCCGTGATACAGGAATTGTCTGCATCAAAGATAAAAAAGGTCAAACTGCGCTTCATATGGCGGTCAAAGGACAGAGTACATCAGTGGTGGAGGAGATATTACAAGCTGATCCGACTATATTGAATGAACGCGATAGGAAGGGTAATACAGCTCTTCACATGGCTACGAGGAAAGGCCGATCACAGGTTAAACTCAATCTCTTGAACGATACTCTCTCGATTTTGTATTTTTGCTTTTTTCCTTTTACTGACGAATTGTTCTTTTGACAGATAGTGAGCCTTTTGTTAAGCTATTCAGCTGTGGATGTTAATGCCATCAACATGCAACAAGAAACAGCTTTGGATTTGGCAGATAAACTTCCATATGGATCTTCAGCTTTAGAAATCCAAGAAGCACTTTCAGAATATGGTGCTAAATATGCAAGACATGTTGGTAAATTAGATGAAGCAATGGAACTTAAAAGAACTGTAAGTGATATAAAGCATGAGGTGCAATCACAGCTCATTCAAAACGAAAAAACTCGCCGACGAGTTTCTGGTATAGCTAAGGAATTGAAGAAACTTCATAGAGAAGCAGTTCAAACCACCATTAACTCTGTCACAGTGGTTGCTGTCCTTTTCGCCTCGATAGCATTCTTGGCCATATTCAATTTGCCAGGTCAATATATCATGAAAGGACCACAGACAGGAAAATCTAACATAGCCGATCATGTAGGATTCCAAGTTTTCTGTCTCTTGAATTCGACTTCTCTTTTCATTTCTCTTGCTGTTGTTGTTGTTCAAATCACTTTGGTAGCTTGGGACACTAGGGCTCAGAGGCAAATCGTGTCGGTTGTTAACAAGTTAATGTGGGCTGCGTGTGCTTGCACATGTGGCGCGTTCTTGGCGATAGCTTTCGAGGTTGTTGGAACGAAAAAATGGATGGCAATCACCATAACTGCTGTAGGGACACCAATTCTAGTTGGAACTCTAGCAAGCATGTGCTACTTTGTTTTCCGACAACATTTTGGTATTTTTCAGAGCGATTCCCAGAGACGCATCAAGCGAGCAAGTGGAAGCAAATCTTTCTCATGGTCTTATTCTGCGAATATATCAGATTTGGACGAATACAATTCAGACATTGAGAAGATCTATGCTCTCTAAGCTAGCAATCACGATATTCTGCTCCATATGTATAGTATAGTTCAAATAAGTTTTGGTCTACAGAGTACAGCTTCTAACGGTTATCAGTATATCAATGATTGTAATTTTATAATAATATCAATTGTTGTTAAAAGTCAGTTATTAGCATCTAAAATCTTTATTATATAATATAATAAAAATGCATAACCCCACATGAAAAACAAGTTCTAAACAGGTATTATTATTGATAAGCAACTTTTTGTTTCTTCAAAATGAAGTATTCCCCTCTGTCACACATGGTTTTCAACAAAAACAACAGAACCATGTGAGTATCTATAAAGTTTACAAGGTCTAAAAAATAGCCCGGCCCAGCCCAGCCCGGCAAAAAGCCCAAGCTTTATCTTAATGCCAAAACCCATCTTTCACCATCTCATGTTTCTTCTATGGTGATGATGATGATAAGTAGTAGCAGTAGAATAAAACAAGCTGCTATTATGATTTTCAATTTTACAAATAAATAACCCTATTCCATTCAAAGTTCAAATGCAAATACCACTGGGATTGGATCAGTGCATAATAAAGACTGATTCAATAGCATTAGCATTTTATCTAGCTAGCTCGCTAGATCTCCTGGATGATCTTGGTACAACATTAAGCTCACTCAATTGAGGTCTCTTTGTTTCTTCTTGTTGTCTTGGAACCTCCTCCTCCTCCTGCATATATGAACATGGCTTGTTATGAGATAAGTTCAAATATGTCGATACAAACAGATCTTAAATTTTATGCAGAATGAGGAAGTCAGTAGTTACCTTTGGTACAGGTGCGATCTTTTTGCGTATCTGTGCTTGTGTTCTGAAATGCTCGCGATGCTGTTGCTGCATTTCCTGAAACTGTTTTATCCTTGTAGTAAAATTGATTCCATTGTGCGAGTTCCCATTGTCCACGGCTACGTCACCATCCTCTGTTATTTGAGAACCACCAGACATGTGATGGAGAAATTGATAGGGGGCCCCGGAGGATGTTTTCTTTAATTGCTCACCATTGAAAGAATATGCTGGCACAGCTTTTATGCGAGTTTTCAGTATCTTGAACGCAGCGCTTTGCTGCATAATTGATATAAAACAAAGAATCAATACAAACAACAAACCATGTCTATCATCAAGATTTTTGAGTGTTGACACATTCAAAAAAGAATTTAAAGCATCAATTTTGTAGAAATACGAAACGTGATAAAGAGGGCGATATAACGTATTAAATTACAACAAATATAATCAAATTGAGTACCTGAGGAAGCAACATCAGAAGACCATACAGTGCTTTAAATAGCCATGTATATTTTCCAGGTTCCAAAAGCTACAAAATTAAATAACCATTTAGGTACACAAGACAATGAAATCAGAAGAAAAAAAGATAAAAAGAACAATATTATTCTAATTAATCACCTGCAGTCGAAGATAAGCAAAGACCGGAGTTTCCAGCAAACGGATCAATTTATCCAGCTGTACCAAGAATTTGACATTAATATCCTCCTCTGACAGAGATTGAATCACAGTACTCACATGTTGGTAAGTCTGTGTCAAGGAAGATAATCCAAATAAAGTTAAGCACTTATACACAAATACACATTGTTCAAAAAGAACATGTGCGAGTTTGTCAGTTCAAGCACATTTGAAAGACGACTATTTTTGTTGCAATCAAAACCAAGTTATAGATGCATACCTGAGCTAAGAAGCAAAGACTTATGATTGCCGTTGGAGAATGACACCATGAGGCATACAAAGAAACATATAAATCCCTCCCGGCAGGATTTACCAGTGTTTGCTTCAAAAGAACTCTAAGCTCAGATAGTTCTGATGATGTAAGTAAGATCAAATTCAAAGCCTGCATTTTTTATGGAAAAGGGAAAATATCAAATTTTGATGAACAACACTTCACCACACTATTAGATTGGCTAAAGGTCAGGCTCATTAAAAAGAAAGTGTGCTTAAAGATTGCAAATATTTTGGACATAGTAAGGTACAGAGTGACTCATCGAACTACTAGGTCACTCTGCTTGAAATGCGTGATTGAACCGGATTAAATCGAATGACTCAACCGTACGACCCAGTCTATGTACGAAAAGTTGTGTAGGTATTAAATTGAATTGCACCGAATGACTCTATCAATGTAAAATTAAATAAAAACTCATGACACTTATAAAATGTAAGAAACCATACCTAAACAAACTAATACCATATTTAAATAAGTATGAATTATTTTTCCATTGTAATTCAAACATTTACAAAAAGCATGGTTGTCAAAATCTCTATCTAAATCTTAAAATTTTATGATATCACTCACCCCCAACGTTCCAGATCTCAAGAAGAGTTGTGTGTTGTAGCTAAATTGTGAAAAGAATTGTAAAATAATTAATCGTGACGGATCTTGGCCAGTTCCGGCCATGATCAGCTGTTTTCGGGCCACCAGCAAGATGCAGAGACGCAACAATTATGGTTCGGCGATGATGAATGCATGTCTTTTTTTTTAAATAATGATGTTTATGATTTAGGGTTTAGAGAGTAAACATATAAGTTGTAGGGTTTGTTTTAAATTAGACTTATGATAAACCAAATAATGACCAAATATGTCCCAAATGTCTAAAAAACTCAATCATACATGTTCAAAAAATATCATAAAAGGTCATTTTTCCACGAATATCCTTGCCTAGTAAAATATCGTGTAAAAATATACTTCAAATATATAGTATTGTTTTTTATTTGAGTAGTTTCTTACGATTTTTGTTACGATCTTGTGTTTTACGATCTTGACAACCTTGCAAACAAGTGTATTAAAAATATATGAATTTTAAATATAAATATAACAAAATAGAAGCATTAACTCACAATAGATATAAGTTAAAACTAAAAGCATGTGTAGCATTCCTTATAAAACAGAAAAAGCATAGGTAGCATTAAGAGAAATCTTTGCATTGGATTTTTAAATATAATCATTAAAAACACAGTAAACATCACAATCAATAATGTGGTGTGGTGGTGCTATGTGTATTAGTTATTACCATGCGCAGTTTCTATACGCGCGTTCGACTCCTGCTTAGCAGCTCCTATATTTTTTTTTAAATATATAAAGCAGTCAATGCTAACAAAAAGTCGTGCTTTGAACCAGATCGTTTGCAAATATCGGCGGGTCACCGGGTTTGGCCGGTCCATGCCGGCTTAACAGCATAGCCGGTCTGGTAGTCCACTCAACTCAGTTACACACATGTCATCAACTTTTCAGGAGTTCCTTAATTAACTAAGAAAAAACAGGATATACCTGAACCATAATTGATGCAAAACCCAAATCAGATTCTCCTTCTAGTATTGTAGAAAGTTCACGGTAGACTCTCTCAGCATCCAAAAGCACACAAAGCCGACGGATTATCAAAGCACCACGCCTAGAATATTATAGAGTGAAAATAAAAAAATAAAGAAATTACTACTTTAAAACATATTTTAGCATAACCATATATAACTAAAAGAATATCTTGGACCTAGGAAAAAATAGCTTACTTCTCCAAAAGTGAATTGTCTATCCGGAAATTGTGCATCAGGAAAACAACAAGCTGACGAAAGTGCTGAGGATCTTTTGCAATGCATGCATGAACATCAAGAACCAGAAGAACAACCTATTACAGACAATTGAAGTGAGTTTTTATTTGCGTCGAGTGAACAATATTGCAATCAACAGTCAAAAGGCATATATAAGATATCTACATCGAAAGACTTGCAAATGAATGATTGCAGTCACTATCAGAAACATAACACTTATTTAAACGATAAGATAACCATACAATTAAAAGCATGATTGCACAAAGATTTTACAAATGAATGATTTGATGAAACAAATCTATTTAAATAATGGTATCAGGTTACAAGACTACCTCATCAGATGGATCTGAAAGTGCCTTGAGCAGGGTGTCGAATATGTCATTCAAATATTGCAAAACCTGTTCGAGACATGAAAATTCAACATGAATGAGCACCAAAATCTTTCATCGACATAAAGGAAAAAAAAAAAAGCTTTAGCAGAGCATCTCAGGTAAAGAGAAATAATAATTACTTAAAGAAAGATTGACAGTAATAAATGAAGAAAATTCGGCACAAAAAGGAAAATAATGACATGAAATATTGGTAATAACTGTATATACTATTAGACCGCATTGAAATACTATAAGTATTTTGGTAGCATAGACTAGCAAAACTCACAGATGCACATGGAACTCAAAAATTGCCAAAACAAAAGGTGAATTAAAAAAAAAAATCTAGTCACCTCAGGGCGATAGTTATTTAAAAGGGTTGATATCCAGTGCAAAGCTTCAATTCGAGTAGCCTCCCATTCACTAGATAATTGCCTGATCAGCCAAACCAACCAGAAATCATTTGACAGAATAATCAGTACAAAATAGCTTGGATACACAAACTAAGATGGTTAAGTAACTTTACAAATCCATAACATTTCGATTGCAAGCATCACAAAACTAAAACCTAGTCTTTTTCACAGGATATAAAAACTATACCTCCTGGCAATGGAGAGGATTTCTCCTACATCAAATCCTTCAGCAGGATCAGCCTTCATGGTGCGTAGCTCTTCATTGGTTTCACGGGCAACCTTACACATGTGCCAGAGATAAATTCAAATTTCTGTTTTACACGAAATGAAGAAAAACAACAAGGGAAGCTCAAGTGAACTTACAACTCTAATTTTCTCTTCTTTATCTGATATGCAAGGCAAAATGGCTCCAAGAATGTCTGCATAATATGGAACAAGCTGATCTCCACTAAGTTTGACAAACTCGTTTATCTGTTAAAATACAAATGAAACAAATCAGCAACATTTTTTCTTTCAATATGACAGAAAAATTGGTTTGATTAAATCCCAAGACTATGCATACAGTACGGTAACAGTAAATACTTGTCAATTAAGTAAAAGAATTGCAGTAATACTTACCCAAGTGAGAGCTGTTAGCCTCGTAAACTCGTCTGGAGAACTTGCCCTCTCTACCAGTATTTCAGCCATACGACCATAATCTACAGACTTCAAGAGTAGCACTGCTCGAGTCAGACAAAAAAGGGGATAGTGGGAAAGGTAAAAAGATAAAATGGACTGTGAAAAGTGACAATCCTTACAGCTCAATCAAAAAGAGGGGAAAAGGAGCTTACTGGTGAGTTCTTAATTTCTTGAAGAAACTCTGAAAGAGCTGAATCAGCTTGTTGACGTATTTCATGACTCGAATCACTTAACATGTTAAACAATCCTGAGAAGTTCACGTACAGTTAGGCAGTTGAAATCCATTTTTGTATAAAATACAGAAAATGAAAAGGATAATTCTTCAAACAATGCGCTCACCATCAAGAAAATCAGGAAGAAACCCCAACATATCAATATCCGGGACACTGTCCAATACAGTAATCCATCCTACCAAAAACTGGCGGACATATGGATTCAATACATTCATGCGCTCCCTCAACAGTGGTATAAATTCTTCAATACTAAATATCAGAAACAAAAAAAAAGGAGGAAATGAGATAGAGTAAATTGGAATAGAGAGGAATAAGTTGACTCATTTATCTTTTGGAAATTAAAAGTGAAAGTTGTTTCGTTTAGTACGAGACCGCTTCACACCTCGTGGTGTTTACGCTTCTCGACTATTGAAGCTTTATTCAAAAGCTGCACATAAGAGATTCTGTACCTATGGTTCTTTCGGAAACTAAGAGCACTAGATAAAGACAGATAAACAAATAATATAGATGTGAGAGGATGGTGCACCTGAATTGATCACTTTCAGTCACAATATCCTGATTCAATAGCGAAATGTGTAATCATCAGTTGATTTAAACAAAACAACAACTGAAATTATTATAAAATCAATCCCTAATAAGCATTCACGTGATATCTGCCCACATGTACAGCAGCCACACAAAGACTTTAATGGAGTCCGGGAGAAACGTATACCTTCACAAGGCGATCTAAGAGATGAGCAGCACTTTGTACATTTGCATCAGAATCTGCAGAAAGCTTGCATAATGCATCAAAGATCTGGTTGAAGAATACAATAAACTCCCCTCTCACAACCTGACAAAAATTAAAATATGTCCATTACACATTAGTAGATGATCGAATTGAATCCGACATTTCCGCACAATCGAGTTCTCACCTTAGCTATGTTATATAGTGCTTCACAAGCATAATAACGAACTCTGCTATCTTGGTCAGAGAAAGAATTCAGCACTGGAGGCACAATTTGCTGTCGAGTACAATACAAGGATCAGATCTAGGTAAACAGATAGCGAAAACTATATATATGTTTAAGCATGTCAAATAAGCCATTCCAACAGTGAAGAACAATGCACACTTGCAATAAGCCATTCCAAATGAACAAATTACTAAAGATATGAAAATTGCACCGATAAATCTATAACTATCATCAAAATCAATTAAGCGTGTCGATCTGAGATACTACTAGAACAAGTTCAGCATAATTTCTCAAGTGAAAAGACACATAACCATAAGCCATAACCTCATGATAAACAAAATCAAAACAAAAAACTAGGTCAAAATTTGAAGACTACAAAAACTATTGAGCAAACCCTAACCTCAAGATGCTGAGCTGCTTCAGAAGTCAACCCAACAGTTGCAGCAGCCAATCCAATCAATCCTCCCTTCATTCAAAACAAAATTTCACAAACAAAAAAAAAAAATCAACAAAATCAACAACCCTATAACATGATCAATGCATTGAACCCAAATTAAACAAAAAAAAAATTAAAAATTAAAAATGATACCTTTCGATGATTAGATTGAGGTGAATAAGTAAATTCTGTAGTCAACAAATTGATGACAGCCACAATTTTATCATGATCTCCATTACTAGCTAAATGCTTGACTATATTCTCAATCTAAACACAAACAAACCCATAATCATAAACCCAGAATGATAATCATAATGAAAATCATAAAAAAAAGGAAAAGGGGCAAAGGAAAAACCTCAAGAGCAGCATTTTTGCGTTTTTCATAGAGCTTATCAGCAAGGTTGCGAAGAACGGCAGGCGGAACAGCCGATAAAGCGTCGGCCATAGAAAAAAGCGGCAAGGTGGGCAGCAGTTGATTGTTGAAAAGTATGAAAGTTGAAGAAATCAAAGGCAGTTTTTCTGCTCCAAACGAAACATTTTAGGTTCAAAGTTGTAATCTTTATAGAACTAAATTCCCAACCAAGTTCAAAATTTTCTTTTGGAGGGGATAACCACTGACGTGGAAAGCGACTCTATTTGGAAAATTTCCGAAGAATAATCAGATCTGATCAAATTCAAGGAATTGAATTTCAGAACAAAAATTGAATTTGATTTTGATTTTGAAATGAAGTCATTTTTAATAAAAAGGTGGTAACTTTGGAGTGAATCACTCACTTACCTGCAATTTTTATTTCAATTCTCTAAATTCTACCATTACCAACTAGCACAACAAGGTTCAAACTTCAAAGTTGAACTTGCAACTACTAAGTGATGACTATATCATTTTATTATTATATGCTTATTACAAACTTTATTTAAATCATCTTTTGAAATAAAAGTTATAAACTTTAATTCATTTTGTTTCAATTTTTTATAGATTAAGATCGCATTCAACTAAAGTTTTAATTAAATTAATCAAACTAAATATATAATTAAAATTTTAGATGATTGTTTATCGAATAAACTAATTAACTATATATATTCTCAAATTTTAAATAAAATATTTTGTTTTTTTTAATTGCTTAATACTCTTTATAGTACAAGCAATAAGGATTGAAAAAATATGTGTTATAAGTAACAAACTCAATATTAATATGCGTCTATAGATTGATCTACAAATGAGATTGTTGATTATAGGAATTTGATAACTACTAACTAATACTTCTAATGACTATGTTACTATATCTTTAATATCCTCCCACGAATTGAAAGATGTTCATGACACTTTTATAAAGGTAAATGTTTAACTATTAAACAAAAGCTATAAATAAGGCTTAACTACTTAACATAAGCTATAAAGTTTAACCACCATAAAAAGTCAATTAAGGCAAAAAAATTAACCATCAAGAACACACTATCACTCAAGAAAGAAACAAAACATTAAAATTATGAATGATAGATTAAAGATGATGTGATCTCCAATTTTACGCACAGGATACTAAAGATTGTGTGATCTCAAATTTCTTAAATTAAAAGGAAATGAAATTTGAACGCCTTTGAATTCTATTTGAATTCTATCTTGATGATAATGTGTTGATTTTAATTGAAATTGTGTAATTAACAAGTATTTAAAAAAAAAGGTTTTGTTATACAAATTGATTTTTTATTACACTTTTTAGTTAGTTTGACATATAAAAAAACATATTGTATTCAAAAAACTTCTCAAAGTCGAAAGTGAGTATACATGTAGTCTAGAAGCATCCTTCATTTAAATGTTGTATTCTTCATTTCTTTTTTATTTTTGACTTTTCTTTGAACTTGAAAAGAAAAATAATAACAATTACTATATCATAAAAAATGGTGTGATGAAAAAGTTAAAAAAATAACAGATTTTATTTATTAACATTTTTTCATTTAGCTTTAATTTATAATATTTTCACTTATTTAATAGTTTTTTTAATGAAATTATTTGTTTGTATACATGATGTATATTGTGAAATGTCTATTATTTTATTTTAGAGTAATTTTAATTAAAAAATTTAAGTAAAAAGTTTGAAACTAGGAAAAAAGAAAAGAGTCAAAATTTTAATTGAATCACAAAACAAAGTTTTAGCTAAATTAATCAAACTAAATTAAAAATAAAAAATTTAGATGATTGTTTATCGAATAAACTAACTAACAATGTAGACAATAACAATATGAGAAAAATTAAAATAATATAATTTATTAATAGAAAAAGTAAACATTGGAGATGAAGTTAACAAATTAGAGAACGGTGAAAATAAAAATAGTGATTTACTAATAGAAGAGTTTAATGGTGTAGATATTGTTGAAGCGGTAAAACGGTAAGTAAAAGTAAATATTTATTTAGTTTTATTATATCGTCTCCACAGAGATTAGTGCTACTGAATTTTCGTTCGACAATTTCTAACGTTAATGAGTTTGGTTATAATGGGTTTGATTGTAAGGTGCGGGAATTAAAAGTTATTAACAGAAAAAGATTCATTCTTCAGAGAAGAGACTTATCAAACATGCATATAATTCATTCTCACAAAATTAAACCTACCGACTAGTTATAGTCAACCTACAATACTCATCAATGTCATCACATATCAACCACAACACTCGTTGTATCATCTCAGAGACGATCTCTTAACCAACCTCAACAACACAGAAGACAATCGTGTTACTTGCATTGACGATCTCTCAGCACAACACAACCAACATAGAGACATTAAACACAGACACCTAAATGAGTAATAGCTTTAAATCTATCTCTAGAATCTAGACACTATTAGATAATCATCCTAGATAAGAATTCTAGCAGTATATGTCTATAACAACTCAAACCCCAAGCACAAAGCAAAAATATAGGATAACAATCGACAAAGATTTGTAAAGCAAGCTTTATATAATGCCATGGGCGATAAATATACATGAGTTCAAAGTAAATACATATACAAATCCCAACAAATGAATAATACACAAAAAAGAAGAGAAATGAACCATAAATCTCCCAGTTTGTCAGCGTCAATCGATGAGAAGTCTACCTCGGAGCATCCGTGTGCAAGCTTCATAATTGTTTTCAAAGCTAATCCTAATGAAAAATGAGGTTGATAGAGTTGGAAGAGCAAAAACCATTCCCCAAAACCATAACCCTAACAAATGAAATGAAATGGAAATATAAACAAAGTCTGCTCAGTTACGCTCGCCTAGCGAGCCAAATGCATCGCCCGATGATGGCCTATTATTACACTGTATAGCCTGTGCCACATGCACAAGAATGGTAAAAATATCCTCCTTCCTCTGGCGAGAGGAAGCTTCGCCTGACGACTCAACCAAATTTTGCTCAGCGACGACAACGCGATGCCAAGGCAGAAGCTACTGGAAAAATCTTCTTTTCCTCTCGCCCCATGCTCGCCCGGTGAGCCAGAAGCACAAGCTCCTCGCTCAGGCTTCGCCCGGTGAGGCACACCAGAAAATCAACTTTTGCTTCTTTATTTCTCTGGCTTGCATTCTTTTCCTTATTCCTTCATTGCTTCAAATGCATCTTGGAGCACCTATTTGGCCTTTATTACCCATTGCTCCAAACACACATAAATTCCTACAAAATAGATACAAAACTATCAAACGATACACTGTGTACATAAAAACTCAATTATACGCAAACTAAGCATACTTACAAACAAAGCGGAGAATTATTCAACGAATATTAACAAAAACATTGATAAGTGCAACAAAACTTATATACAAAAATATCTACAATTTGAACTTATCAAACTTTCCCCAACTTGAACATTGTTTATCCTCAAACAAAGTCAAATAAACTTAAAGAAGCAAAAATGATCAACCAAAGAATCATGAATCAACAAGTTTGAAAAACGGAAAACAAATGTATGGTTCAAACAAAAATGCACAAGCAAGGAAAAAGACTTACCATTATTCTACAACGATAACATGTAAACAAAATGAATCCTAAGTACAAAAATCATACAAAACATCCTAAAACAAAACAAGCTTAATCATGAATCACACCTAGTAAAAATTCATAGAGGGATGAAAAACACATAAAGGTGAGGATTTGACACTCATCCAACAATCTTGCAAACAAAAGACTAAATTATGCATTCATCCAAAAATTCACATTGAACATACAAAGGCAAAAATCACAAGGGCTTTTTAGGTTTGTAATGTGGCTTGGTTAAAAAACAAGGGGTAATTCCTAAAGTTAATCGAAACAAAAACTTGCCTAAGCCTAAGGGAGTGATCAACTCACAAAAGTTCAAACACAAAATTTCAATCAAACATCTTCTTTCATCCCAAGTGTTACACCAAACACACCTTACTTATTAGCACAAATATTTGATACTCTTTTTATTTTATTTTTTATTTTTTTTTCACAACCGCATAGCAGCCAACAACATAAGTGAGCAAATATTGTTCTCCCCAACTTGAATTCAACCAGCATCAATGTATAAATACTCCCTACTTTCTAAGGCAAGACAAAAATTCAAAGCATAAATCATGATTGAGGGTTTAAGAAAACAAAGAATCAACATTCATCCAAAAAGGTAAACTAAACACTCATAGACAAGCTTCAAGTTCAAAAATAACATGGACATTGACAAAAAGCTCAAAAGGGGTTAACAAAAGTTTACACACTCACAAGGTGAATTGACTATTTGGTTAGGTAGTTGTGCTCAAAATAAAATAAAATGTCTTTATCATTTTCATGCTTTCATACAATCAACACAAACAAAATATTAAACATAATGAAATCCAGTTAAAACAAAAATTGTGGCCTCCAGCATATATGAACAATGGAAAACTTCCTCACATTTAGGGGTAAAAAGGAAACTAAAGTGATTCAATAAAAAAGCAAGTAATGTAAAAGAATGAATGGCATGAAATTTTTTACAAATGAAAAGTTTCGTAAACATCTTATGTTATAGAAAGCAATAAACGAGTACTTGGCGTGTACCAACTTTAAAACAATATTATTACCATACATTCGCAAGTTGAAACGGTCAACTTGGGAAATTACCTCAAACTTCCTCAAGCTACTCAAAACAAACTCTTGGACAAAAACAAGAATAACAAATTAAAACAACTAATATAAACATACTAAAAGACCGGGTGAAATTGAATTAAACAAGTTGAAAAGTGAAGATTTGAGAATTTTAAGAACTGGTCCAATTTCAACTTATTTAACCAATTCACCACACTACCTATACTAATACAATAAAAACAATAAAGAAACTAAAAAAATAAAACATACTTGTTTTACGTTGTAAGATCGATGCCTATTATTTATACACACTTCTCCATGTTGCCGCTTTACACGGTTAGATCTCACTGACGGTGAAACCTAACTAAACACTTAACAAACGTGAAGAGAAACAAACA